CAGGTAGAGGGCCCCTTAGCAGAATTTTGCTTAGGGCCCCAGGGAGGTCGGGATCGGCACTGGGTCTGAGTTTTCCCCCATGCTCCTGTAACAGGACAGAAGACATGTAACCATTTTTCTCAGCAACTGTCTGTGTAAATGGCTTATCAGGATTTGGGATGCCCAGCGTAGGTGCACTCAGCAAAGCCTGTTTCATTTCACAAAAAGCATGTTCTGCCTCTACAGTCCATGTCAGTTTGTCATGGGCTGTCATATCCTGTCCATAAATTAATGCAGACAAAGGCCCTTCCTTCTCACTGTAGCTTGGAATAAATGTCCTACAATACAAAGTCATTCCTAAAAAAGACATCATTTGTTTTTTAGTGATCGGTTTAGGAATGTTCTGTATGGCTGTAACCCTGCTGTCCGACAGTGATTTTCCGTTCGGTGTCAACACGTGACCTAAAAAGGTGACTTTGGTCTGGTTTATGGCCACTTTACTCGGATTAACCTTATGACCCCGCTGGGCCAAATAAGTTAACAACGTGATAGTAGCCTGCATGCAAATCTTTTCATCTGGACAACAGAGTAACAGATCATCAACATACTGCAAAAGAACCACGCCAGGCGGAAGAATTTTAGATCTTCTAAACTGCGTTTCAAAGCTTCGGTAAAAATAGTTGGACTTTCACAGTACCCCTGACACAATCTCGTAAATGTGTACGCTTTCCCATTGAAGTTAAATGCAAACCAAAATTGTGAGTCAGGGTGTACTGGAACACTAAAGAACGCATTTGAAATGTCAATCAGGGTGTAACACTTGGTCCCCGCTGGGATTTGAGATAAAATAGTGTAAGCATTCCCAAATATCGGGGCTCTCGAAATAATTGATTCGTTAACCGATTTTAAATTCTGAACGAACCTGTAACCGGCGACTTGACCGTCCGGTCGTATTTTCTTTACTGGAAAAATAGGTGTGCGAACAGGAGAGTCCGGACACTCAACAATCACCCCTCCTTCCAGTAAGGAATTAAACACAGGAGTAATGCCCTCAATTGCTTCCTTCTTCAGCGGATATTGCATTTTCTTTGGCCTATAGTCAGACTTGGGCTTTATTCGAACTGGTTCGCACCCAGCAATCAGTCCTACATCATAGCTATCTTTAGCCCACAAACAACTCGGAACTCCCTCCAACCCCTCCGGGATAACAGGGAGCTGCGATAATGTCAGACTGCCAAATCTCATTTCCTCTTCCAACACTGTGACTGCTCTCAAACCTTGCAATGTTTTACGACATGGCTGTTTGAACCATCCGGTACTTTCGCTTTGGCAGACCAGTCGTTTTTGATCTATTATGACCCAGTCGGTCAATTCATGACACTTGGCCATGAATGGACCTGCGTCACGCCATTCAGCCTTCACTGGTTTGGCCAGTGATATATGAGGCTGTGCATTCTCCACGTCATAAAACATTGCCTGTCTGTCAGTCAGTTTCACACTCAAAACACACCAGTGATTTGTCCAATAATAATCTGTCTTTACATCTTCCACATCAACAGCAAACCAACGCTGTGAATAATCATCATCAGGACTATTGCTGACATGTGAAGTACAGTGCAAGTCTGAATCATTCATAAATTCAGACGATGGCAACACTCTGTCATGAGCCTTTGTGGTCAGACACGTGTTAGAAACTTGCCATTCATACACAAACAAAGGGTTTTCCCCTGTTGTTTCATACATCATTCTCATGTCAGCAGAAATCCCTTGAGCAGTACAGTGAATAGAAACACCCAATTTACAAAGTAAATCTCGACCCATTAAATTAACTGGACATGTCTGCGTAATCAAAAAACTATGTTCAAATTTTCTCCCATCAATAGAACACTCAAGCGGTGCTGTGAATGCTTCTGCAACCACATGACCAGATGCACTCCTGGAAAGATTTGTCTTTCCAGAAAGTGAAACTGGTTGTTTAAACTCTGTTTCTTTTATTAGTGAAAATGTGGCTCCGGTATCAATTAGAAACAACATAGTCTTGTCAAGAACGTTTACTTCTATCAGAGGTAAAGATTTATGAGCCTTATAGAAAATATCAGCAAGCTTGTCTTCATTGCAAAGAGCAGAGTCAGAAGGAGAAGAAGAAAAAGTATACTCATCTGATGTGGAGACCGTCGGAGACCCGTTGCTCGCACCCTCCCCCTCTCAATCCGCCTGACTCGTGGTCTTGCCTGCCTGCGGGCACGAATCACGCCAATGTCCTTTCTGTCCACAAATGAAACAAGTGTCTCGACCTGGACGTTGTTGATTCTGTGCGAAATGTCGACCGTTGCCACGACCACGCCATTTGCCTCTTCCTCCACCACCTCTTTGGTTTTGCTGATAGTGGTGTGGTTTGTTGTTTTTCTTGCTCTCATGCAGTGCAATCAGAGCCAGGGAAAGATCTTTTTCGTGCTTGGCCGACTTGGTTAGCTGTTGCATGTTTAGAACTTCCTCATGATGCTTTGCATGTCGCCTAATGTCCGCTGATGTAGCTAGTTGCCATCCAACACAGGATTTCTTGATCGCCATTGAAATCTCCAGTTTCAGTCCATCCAGGAACAAAGATCTTAAATAGTCGTCATATGGATCAGATGCTGGAGGCGGTTGGTCTGCATTTGCTTCTGTCGACGGCGGCAGTCGTCTCTTTTCCAATCCACCATGTTGATCAAAGCATGCCTTCAGTCTTAGGAAATATGCTTCGGTAGTTTCCTCTTTTCCTTGAACACATTGACGAACTTTATGAATGTCCAGTGTGCGCGGAAAAGCTGTCCTCAGGACTTCAATTATGTCAACGACTTTCTTGGTGTAGTCGCCGTTGGACGGATCGTCGTAGTTGGTGTGTTTCAGACGTGCGTCTTCTGGCCACTTTTCCAACAGTCTGGTCATTTGCACTAGTCCATACTTCAAAATCATCAGTCTCCTCAGTTCATTGAGACTCGGCCTGAATTCTCTGCAGAATGCAGCTAGTTCAGCACCCAGCTTGGCCCCGCCTAACTCGATGTTTGGCAGGTGAGCAGAGGCTTGTCTCATGTCCTCTTCGGTCCATGGTCTCATTACCAGAACTGTTCCCTCTGGCCCTGCTACTTCAACCATTGGTGCTTGAATAGCTTCAGAAGGACCTTCGTCGTCCTCGTCGCTGCTCTCAGTCTTTATTTCAGGCTCTTAATCTTCAGTCTGGCGCTTGCTGTTGGTTTGTTGCCGTCGCGAGTACGGTTTCAGTTTTCGCTGTCGTTTCGCCTTTCTCCGTGTGCTCAAAGTTAAGTTTTTCAGGTTTTCGTTCAGCAGTTCCTCTAGAATTTTGCTGCATTCCTTTCGCCCCTCGTCATTATATACTGTCCCAGAGCGAGTTGAAGATGGCGCCTCTTCGCTGTCCTCCCTCGGAGTATAACTGGGCGGTGGGGCAGCTGGTGCGCTGGCTTGTACTTCAGACGGCGCGCTGGCTTGCGATGGCGCTTGCGACGGCGAACTGGCTGGTGATTCTCCCGCAGCAGCTCCACTTAGACCAAGATTGAGAGCAGGTGGGCGTCGAGCCGGATAACGTATCCCCGTCATCCATCATCATTTTCATAAATTGACCAAAGAAAGGAGAAAAACCGTCAGGAATGTTAGAACAGTCATTTTTAAAGGTAGAACAGTCAGTTTTAACATCCTGTAATGCTTTCTTTGATGCCTCCTCTCTTTCTTTATCAGAATTTGATGGTGCGATGGCACGAGAGCCTTGTTTTTGCTGTCTGCGCATTGCCTCTTTTAACCATTTCCCTATGATCTCACCACACTTATTGTAAAACTCTTTGTCTTTATTCTTGACCTTATGAGTCGCCCAATGTACTTTGGTTTGAGTCAGATGTGACACACTAAACCCTCCATTAAACCCATAATGGTGTGCTAAGTACGGCACATACTCATGATACCAGGTTCCCATTATTTTATCCATGGCTACATACGAGCTCTTAGAAAAATCAATTCGTTTAGAAATATCAACCCGTTCCTCCTCTCTTTTCGAATTTTTATTACCCATTTTCCTTGTGTAATTTGCTCCACAATATTTGTATTTGCGTATTTAAATCTTTTCCTCACGTGGTCACCACGCTCTCTTATCTACTGTATTAATTCTTTCCCCCAACGTGGCCACCACGCCTGCCTTTATTCGTCAATAAAGGACTTTCAAATTGCCTCCATCCGTCGACGAAGGTCTTTCCCAAATGAGTGCCTTTTGCCGTTTGAAAAATTACTATCAGGCTTATTTCAAACAGGCCCCATCTGGTGTTTGAGAAATCACTCTCAGTCTTTTTCTCAAACTCTGGCCCTTTTGGGAAAACAATTAATACTTGCTATTTGAGAAAATTACTATCAGGCTTATTCTCAAACTCTTTGAAACTTTACTTTCAGGTTTATTCCAAACCTCTGACCCTTTTAGGAAAAGTATTCAATACGCAAATAATTCTCTTATTTACCACGTAAATAATTTTTCTCACCGTCTCTTGATGACCTTGTGAGTTCGCTTCTGGGAGTGCGTCACCTCGGTCGTCGTGATGAGTGAAACAATTCTCTCTCCTTAAGCTTGAGGATTCGAGCCGCAGAGTATACTGTTCTGGGGGTGATCAGCCAATTGTTCGCTCCTCACGCCGCTCCTTGGTTCAGCATCCCATCCTCCCCGTCGCCATTTGTTGTGGAAATGATTCTCTGTTATTCGAAAAGATAGGAGGAAGAAGACAAGTGGAAACCTTTTCAAAAGTCAAAGTATCAAAAGTTTATTTTCTTGCAAGAAAACACATCCAATCTTTTGGCGTTCAACATACAGAACAGTGTCTACATGTGAAGGCGAAGGCTAGTCCTTCTCATCATCCTTATATACCTGAAAACCCAGGAAACCATGCAGGCTATATCTGGTTTTGCTACCGATTGTCTATATTTAATTTGGCCAGCACAATGACGTTTGTGTTAAGTTTCCTATGTCCAAGTACAGATTGACTTCACACCTCAATTTATCTCTTGGTTGCAAGTTCTGTTCGACCTCACACCTTTCTGCTCAATTTATCTCTTGGTTGCAAGTTCTGGTTTATCTTTTGTTTGATCAAAACCCTGCACAAATATAACTCACACTTGAAATACAATGAGCTATTAAAATGTTTCCATGCTGCTTGCTTCTTTGTTAAACACAGAACATTATGTCCTCACACTAAGCTTACATTACTTATGCATTTCTAACAGTTTAGTTATACCTTAAGCTTACTCTAACTTATGCATTTCTAACAGCTTGTTATATCTTTAACAATGTCCTTTGGATTACATGAACATCTTCCTTTAAATGCTTATGAGTATATGTTAGATGATATGAATATTTTCCTTTAAATGCTCATGAATACATCTTCTCCAACGTTAGTAAAAGTTACACACACATCTATCACATCTTAATGAAATAAAAGAATACATATAAAAGAAAATAAAGATCATATATGAAAGAAAAGAAACTTGTATAAATGTAAATGCAAAATTAGCTATTACAGAACCCCGTGTTCGCGAAGGGGAACAAGGGCTGCCTCGACGATCTTCGTGAAGACGCGAGGCGACAGAGCCAACCCCGAAAGGGAGAACCGTGTACTGATGCCTGGCCTCGAGGCAAACCGAGAACGGTCTGTGTCGAGGCAAAATGGAGGCATGAAAGTACGCGTCCTTCAGGTCAATCGCTGCAAACCAATCCTGCGGCCGGACACATTCGAAAATGCGTTTGGTTGTGAGCATTCTGAACGGTGGCTCAAAATGCACAGATCCAGGATCGGTCGTAACCCACCGGTCTTCTTGGGGACAGTGAAGTATGGGCTGTAAACCCGGACCTCACCTCGGCTGGAGGGACCGTCTCGATTGCACCCTTCGCCAGCAGGGTCGCAATCTCCGCTCCCATGATCGGGGCATAGCCACCGACCACCGTGGAGCGAACTCCCCTGAAACGGGGAGGAGACCTCGCGAACTGAGTCGCGTAGCCGAATCTGATTGTTCTGATGACGCAGCGGGACAGGTCGAGGAGCTCTAGCCAAGCTCCCAGGGACTGAACCAGCGGAATCATGCGAACCACAGACGTCCCCCCGGAGGGGCAGCGGTACAGGGAGACCGGCATGCGCACAGGAGTTACCCCGTGCGGATGCACAGTCGAGCCCCGTTCCCCGACAGAAGAGACCAGGGAAGGACGCACGTTCCACGGGGGTCTGTTCTGCCGGGGGTCTGGCGATAGAGGGGGAGGGGAGTGGTGTAGTCGAGGGACGACACATGCTCCCATCCGCACCCTCCGAGACAGAGAGGAATGAGCGGGGCGACGCACTGGAACGTCGTGCGCGCTAATTCGAGTCTGTGTGCTCAATGATAGTGTCAGTTTTTCTTCAACCAGCTCAAGGCGCTGCTCACTCGTGGGTGAGCAGCGAGGAGCTAGCTAGAACAAAATTCTCCACCGGCCCTCCACCGGGGGAAGGAGGGGCCCTGCTACCGCCTCCTGAGAAAAACCGTGATACTATCACTGAGCAGCCCGTCTCAGGAACCTCGCTTCGCCTGGAGTTAGCGGGGCACGCGGCCTGAGGGGGCTGTGACGCTTACCTGTGGCCTCCTCCACGACGCGAACCGGCTGAAGGCTGCTGCTGGGGCCGCGTGGGAGGGAAGGGAGCCGCAGGGCGGCGTCCTCGGCAGCGAGCAGGCGGAGGCGTCTGAGCCGACGGCTGGGTGGAGGCAGCAGCTGGCCGTCGGGGCAGAAGTGTAAACCCGCCTTCGTCTGCTCCTAGGCGGTCGAGAACTGCTGGGCGAAGTCCTGGACCGCACCGCCGAAACGATGATGCTCCTTAGATTATACTCCTGGACCACAGTGGTGGCCAAGGGAGCGAGCAGCCGCTTCCGTCGCCCGTTTAAGAGCGAGGTCGGCGGCAGGCTCGCAGCTCGCTTGGTCCGTCCCCTCCTCGTGCACAATCCTGAGCAGCTAGCAGGTGCTCATCATATGCAGGGCGGAGGCCGCCTGTCCCGCCGCTCTACAGGATCGCGCCGCCATAGACGACGAGAACCTATAGGCTTTGGATGGGCATCTGGGAGCACCGCGGGAGAAACGCCCTGCGGACGCAGCTGCATCGCAACAGAGCGCTCCACCGGGGAGTCCCAGCGTACCCACAGGCAACCGCGACGCCGAGGGGAGGAAAGGCGGGGAAACTGAAGCACGCTCTCGGGGCCTTTTTTTTTTTTTTTTTTTACCCAAGTGCGTGTCAGTTCCGCATGCAACTCGGGGAAAAAGGAAATTGGGGTTGGCCGTGGCCATAAGGCGGCAGCGTTACCCAAAAACCAATTATCCAGCCGCGAGAGATCGGGACAGGGCGGTGTTCCACCCCCACCCGATGCTCACGAAGGCCCGAGATAGCATGGCCGTCATCACGGGATCAGACACGGCGACGTTGACGCTCCCGAGGGAGACAACGCGGCTGCATCCTCAATTCCCGAGGAGTCAAGCCCGCCTTGTGATGCTGCGATCGTCATCGCATCATCCTCTGGAGCGCTGAACGAAACAGACGGTACCTGCAAAGAGGCAGACGTCTGAAGCGATACAGCGCTCACTGGCTCTAACACTGGAGCGGTGGGTGTGGCCCAAGGAACTAGCGTCGGGGGTTGTGCCACACATTCACCGTCATATCACCCTATCCGTGAGTCGAAGAGCTTCTATTTTAAGAAGCAGAACGAGTAACGAACACGGGGACTCTCACTTTATCAGATCATTAAGTCTAGATCACAGTGTAGAGATGCTCATGTTCCCATTTAAAAGGAACATGAGTCATCCACGAACGCTGCTACTGCATGCTGAAAGCCCAGGCACACAGAGCAGCGATCGCGACCATCAGAAAATGACATGAAACGATCGCACCCAGAAGAACACGGGCGAGTCGTCTTTAAAAAGAAGTGCCGCGTGCAGCTCTTTCACTCAGAGAGGAGGAAATTCACTCTGTCAGCGCTGAGGCGACCAGGGAGAAGCGCAAAGTCTGGCAGACCACTGCTCAGATCGCAGGCAATGCAGAGTCTCGCTGGGTACCGCCGTCACACCAACACTGAAGAGGACGCTCGTCTCGAAGAGTCTTGAATCAGTGAGAATGGCTTGAGGAGTGAAGAAATCTCTTGGCTCCGAAGCGAAAACATACTGCGGTTGCGTTCACTTCCTCCTTTTATACTCACGGAGTAGGGCGGAGTACGCTATGCAAATTTCCGCAGCCCCAAGGCATTGCATGCCATTGGCTCGTGATTAAATACTCGAAGAGGATTGGCTTTCTATGCGAAACCCCCCCAATCTCCGTCACTTCTGACGTAACTCGAAGTGACTACGAAAAGGGAACTGCAGGTATGCTTCATCGTACCGTCGAAGCTTTTTTGCAGCTGGTGGTGCGTCGGTTGGCTTGGTCCTCACAAGAAATTTCTCCATTTTTGTTATGTGTTTTCAATTTCAATAAAGTTTTTGCACTATGTAACTATGTGTGTGTGTGTGTGTGTGTGTGGTGTATGTTGAGAGAAATATCAGGGGCTAATCAGTCGGGACTCAGGCACGATCTTTAATTTAAGCTAAGTGAAGCTGCCTAGCAGTTTAAAAAAAATATTAGGGTTGAGATTTATTCCAATCTTAAAAAAGAATGTTTATGGGTTAGTCTTTAAAAAGACTGTTGGGGTTTGTAGTAAGTAAAGGACTATCGAGATAACAGACTAGCGAGAGTTGGCACAAGCGAACTTGGCAAGAGACTAGACTAGAGTGAATGGATAACTATGTCGTGAATCAATTTAAATGCAGTGATTTATTTTTGTGTGAGAGTTAAGTGAACATTTACAGCCCGCTCTGAAAGTCAGGGCGGGAACGGCGGCGGCCTTACGCATGCGTGATTCATTTGCAGCCTGAACGCCGAGGGGTGTGTGTCTTCTCCCTGCTCTTACTGCAGGCTGGGCCTGCTGCGCGATACTGCTGACTGTGAGTGCTTTTGGATGGGAGAGGGGCTCACGGCAGCTCCCATGGTTGAGCACAGTAGGCATAACTGCAGAGTGATTCGTGCTTTCGAGTCTCCAAACACCACAAAAGTCTCCAAAAACACCAGTAAAAGTCGCTGGATTTGTCGCTTTTGACAAAAAATAAAGTTATATAAATAAAGTCAGGAGGATGATTTGTTTGTGTTATATTCAGTGCTTGAAGTGGGAGGTGGGAAAGGTCGCGGTACTCTCTTTGCATTGGCAAATCATGAAATTTTTATAGTGGAAAAACAAAACTTGGAGATTGGGGCTACAACAATTTATTGTTATTTATTTATTAAAAACATAAATGTATTTAAAAAAAAACATGATTGTGTGTGGCTGCGTAAGTTACGTGCGCGTGAGCATTTCACAAAACATAAAGGAAAACTGTAGCCTATATTCTGACTAGTTTATTCGTTTATATATGTATAAACTAAATACGACTTCACGTTTATGTTTGCAGCCTCTGAAACTTCCGTCCGTCATAAAGATTAATTCAGATGTTTCGATTTTCTGCATTTTTTCGCATCCTTAGCAAATGTTGAGGGGTTTTGACAATTGAGAGCCACCAAATAACGAATATGAAAAACGAATACGACAGTTTTTGACTCAAACTTGAGGCTTGAGCAGCTTCTCGAGGAGAAATCAATCAAAAAATGAGCGCCGTTTTCTTAAGTCTGTGAGCGCGCAGCACACACAAACAAACTAAATTGACATACTGCAGTTAAATTTCAATATGTGGTGTTTTATATTTATAACATTTGAACACAGTTCAGCAACATACATCACACGACCTGACGTCCAAGAGCTAACAACCATTACTCTTAATTTACCATCACCTCACGATTGAAAATGTGACACTGATTTCATATGACAGTTCAACAAACAAGTTAATATTATTAAGTCACTTTTTAGACGAAATAATGACTGTTTTGATCTATTTTAGCAGCGAAAATAGATCCGATGAATCCAAACAAAAATTACAGCATAGCTCACAACAACACTCAATCGTGTTTTGAATGATTCAGTGTTTTGAACGAGTCAAAGATTCAATGACCCATTCACAAACATAGACATAATATATACATAGACGCCCTATTGGCCGCTTTGGAACGTTGCTGCGATACGTCAACGGGTCCGCCATTTTGCGGAGGTCAAGACTGCATTGTAATTAAATGTAAGTAAACGGGTGAGCTGCGTTTTTCTGGATAAAAACATTCTTGGATAAGAATGGTGAAGATCCCCACACTGAGGCCTCTGAGGACAAGCTCCATTAATCGTTGAAACGTGGCGGGGGCGTTGGATAGGCCCATCGGCATGGATCGCCACTGATAGAGGCCCTGTCCTGTTGTAAAGGCCGTCTTTTCTCTGTCCTCTTCAGCAACTTCCACTTGCCAGTAACCGTTGGAAAAA